GGTCTTCCACTTCGCTTCCCTCTGCAGCTGGAATCTCAGAGGGGCTGGCAGCGAGAGGGGCCGGCCTCCTGGAAGGGCACAGTGGAAGGGTGGGGGAGCCGGGCCCACCACCGCCTTGGCAGCTTGTGTTCTGAACAGTACACACCCTTTCTGTGGCAAAACTGACTGCCGGCCTGTCAACCTGACTTCAGATTCTAACTTAAAAAAAAATTAATGCAATTTTATAATCCATTGATCACTATTAGAAAATAAAGGGTTTTATAAGAAAAGCAAGTTTTTGTCTGTATTTCTGGGGAATAGTGGTCTTTCTGCTTACTGCTTGTGGAATTCTTAGTGGAAGATTAAGCTTCTGATTATGAAGTGAGTTGGAAGTATGTCGTCGCAAAGATTAAAAATAAGGAAGGAAGCAAGAGGGAGAGTGATGGAGAGAGAGGAGGGTGGGAAGGATCATTATGTCCTTGAAACTGCATGTACAAAATATGTGAAGTCTATTCCTTTATAAATAATAAAATTTTAAAAGAAAAAAGAAAGGCAAGTTCGCAGTTGTTTCTTGTTATTACTATACATCATCTAAACAGTGTCATCATTCCATTGTATTCTTTATTAAAAAGAATCTAAATGCTTTTTCAGAAGCATCTTGACCTTATGGGTAAAGGACTCCGTCTTTCTGCACACGCAGTGTGCGGAGATGAAGCTGCTCGTCTATAAGCGGCTGGAAGGTTCCTCTGGTGGGAGTGCTCACAGCCCTCGCCACGGAGGTTTCTAAAAGCATAGTTCATTGTAACCGTGTAGTTTGGTTTAAGAAAAAGTGATTGGCACAAAAAAAGATGTATCTCTCTGCAGATAAGTCGCTTTCAGTTTTCCAGCCTAATTTCAGCTGTGGTATGTGAGCCAGGGCAGCCTGTGCACTGTATGCTGGCATGTTCTTTAACTGCAGTTTCACTGCATCCTGTTAAGAAGACTGTTCGCTTATGAGGCACTTAATCAGCTCTGATCATTTTTTCCTTAGTACCAAAGTGATTGCTTCAGTGTCAATATCCAGCCACCTGTTGGAGAACTGCTTTACCTGTGGCCATGTCAGAGAAAGATTTTAAGAAAGAACAAGGTGAGACATTGCTCCAATCCAGAGACTGGTGTTTCTGACTGGTCTCTTAAGATAAACCATCATCCATACACTACAGTTACCAGTGCACAGTCTGCTGATTGTTAATGCTGTACACTTAGAGAACAGCTTTAAAGGTGTGTTTGTATTCTTGCCATACCTGAAAGGTGATAAAGCTGTCTTGAAAATAATAAACTGGTTCTTAGCGCTCAGTTCTGAGAGTGAGGTTCTGACACCTGAGTGCTGATGTGGTCAGTGGCGGTGAGGGTGCCAGGACTCGGGGACTGACCAGTGTCCCCCGCCACTCTCGCTGTGGCATTTCTGTGTTTTCATTATAGAGCTCTTTCTCATGTGCTGCTAATGTGTGTTTCCCTGCACACTTTGGAATGCCTTCCCCTTCAAGATAAGAGTCCTCACTGCAGTCTTAGACGGCACGTTGTCAGAATGTGTCAGCCGCATCTCAAAGTGCAGCTCTAAAAGCAGTGTTGATGTCCTCGCACACAACTGAGCACACCTCCCAGTAAAATAAGGGGCTGTTTTTGTGTGGGAATGAGGGGGAATCACACTGACTTCATGCGTGTGAAGGATAACAGTGACAAAACCAGGGCGTATTTGCTATAGTCAGCAGTTTTAAAACTTTATGTAATTCTAGGGTAATTTTTTTTGTCTGGAGGGTGTTATCAAAGATCTCTTGTTGGTGTCACTAAATCATATCTGTCAAGCTTCCTGAAAGTCCTTGGCACATAATGATGCCCGTAGCACACTCCGGAGAGGGCGTGCTTCTAGCACTTAGTTATCCGAGTGCCAGAGAGGGTTTTGCGATCCACAGTGTCAAAAGACCTGTTGGAGAAGAATCCCCAAGGAAAATCTCATGCCAGACTATAAGTCAGTAGTGCTCTTTTTCTTCTGGCCTTATTTAAGTGATAAAAAGAGTAACTAAATCCGTGTTTGCATGTGCTTTTTCTCAGAAGTTATTGCTGTAGAAGGAAGTGCCTTTGTGACTTTATTGTTATCTGACAAACTGCATTGATTCTTGTATTTGCTGTTCTCGCCCTTTGCTGGCTAAAGCCTGCCTCTGCTTCACACCTGCTCAGCAAGCCCAGGTGAGTGACCACGAGTGACTTCAGCGGCTTTAGCGCTACTATGGTTAGGGCATCGTCCTTGTTTCAAAGTGCAGCTAAAGCAGCCGAGTATCATAAACCCTTTCTCTCCTTCAGCCTTTGTTTAGAATACTTGATATTTCGATCAAATTCCTCGTGCTCGGCTGTGACTGAGGGGTTTTTTTCGCTGACCAGCCATACAGAACCGTGAGCGCACCAGAGGCGCACTTGGAGAATAGCGGCGGTCCCCCGTGGAGTTGTTGCCAAAATTCCTTTTTCTTCTGCCATTTACTTCTGTGGTTGTTGATTATTTGTCTGAATAAATCTGGCAGCTGTTTGCTGTGTTTAATAGAGCAGAAGGCTACTCTGAATAAAGCTATTTGGAAATTTGTGTATATGAAGTATTTGTAAATCCTTGCCAGTCTCTTGGCATTCTGTATCATTCTCTCTGTCTTCCTGAATTCATTCCTTGATGTGGAACTTGATGCTGGCAAATGGACCGCAGTTTTAGAGAGTCTTTTCAATAGCAGCGTTTTAGTTATAGGTTGCAGCAGGTCTGTTAACAGAGCTCTCAGTTCTCAGCTTCACACGTGCACGTACTTGGAAGTCCTCTGGGAAGAGCTCTGCTCACGGCACAGAGGCACCTGGAGGGCACGAGCGGCAGACCCTAAACTGGAATAAGTCTTTCTTTCTTCACATTTTGTCAGATTTAGGAAGCAAGAACACATTGTTACTCACTAGCTTTAACCTGCTTTTCTGTTTTAAGTGAAATTAATTTACATAATTAATGCCTCATTTCACAGGATGTGTATTTTAAGATTTAGTGTGTACATTAGATGCATTAATTAGACTTTAACTGAAAAAATGATAAATAAGAAATAGGAACATGGTTCTGTTTTGGTTGTAGAGATTACATAATTAAAAATTACAGGATTAAAAGTGGTTATAACATTGTTGCATATTAGTATTTCCTAAAAGTTTTGTGTCCTGTGTATAGCCTGGTCCTATTCCATTTTCCCCGTTGCATTTGTGGTTCGGTGGCAAAGTGCTTGCTCCCAGGTTGGTAGCCAGAACGCTAAAGGAAACCCTGACTTACCCTGCTGTCTGTCCAGGATGCCTGTGCTGTCTGCACCCTGAGGCTTCCGTCCTTCTGTCTGTCCAGGATGCCTGTGCTGCCCGCACCCTGAGGCTTCCATGGAAGCCTGACTTCTCACTGCTGAGCTCTGAGCCCTGCAAAGTTAGCTAATGGTCTAGCTCTGAGACAACCTCAGTACTATGAATAGTACGGGTCTCTTTTCACTTAAAATGTTTTATTTTGATTTCTTCATTGTTCATTTTAAGAGGCCTAAGCCAGTTATTTATTCCAGGCTGCTTCCTCTTACTCATTTTTTCCTGTGATTTAAACTGCAAATCTAAAACCTTGAAGAATCTTTTGGAATTTTATTTTCCTATTTTGTTTGTCTTACATTTTGGCAGTTAATTATAGATGATTAACCTAAATTAAGTGCTATTCCATGCCTGCACCAAGATTTAGATAAATTCTAACACAGCCACAAATTCTTGGTCTGAGAATTTTTAAATGTTCTCCCAATCTCTACTTGTGTTATGTCTGAGCAGGCTATGAGGTGATTTAAAGTCTTGTTTTTATTGGAGAAAGTTTTAACAATGCTTTGGCATATTTTTCTTTCTTGTTAATTTGAAAACTAGCTGATATATTTTCATTTAAAATATCTGTGATTTAAGAAACCTAAAATGTTTGCTTAATTTATTATGATTTATGCATCCATCTCATGGGTTCCTAGCTAGCAAGATGCTAATTCTTTAAATGGTCAGACATTTGCTGTTTTCTGGCCCTTAACTACCACAAGCAATCATATTTGATGCCCCTTAATTAGAGCACCTTTTTTCCTCCCAGGTTCTTTTTCCACCTCAGCAATCGAGACAATACATTTGCTTACCATGCTGCTCTCCTAAGTGTTCTTTTGCATGTAAATTAATCTTGATTCAGTTTACACTGTCATGCTGAGTGGTACAAATTGCCTATAACAATAAAACAGCATGAGTTAAAAATAAAGGGGGTGGGAAGGCAGATTGAATGTGTGCCTTACTTGATAGGATGTTACTTTGCATTATGCCAATACATTAGCTGCCGATAATGAATCTTCTGTTCTGAAAAGCATGGTTTAGTTGATTTTTTTAATTTTACTTCAATGGAGCAGTACCTTGTCTTTTATAGAACAAGTTAGACAAACCATTAATGACAAGAGTGTTAAGGTTAAATATGAAGCAATGCATTCAGTTCTCTGAGTGCTATCCATCTTTCCATTTACAGGAGCTTGACAAAAGTACTGGCTTTGTACAACATTTCCTTTAATTACCTGCTGCGGGAAGCAGGCTTTTAACATAAACATAGTGGCATTCATTTGTTCAGCAGTTGCTCTTGGGTAGCGCCTAATGGAGAAGGTTTAAACCCTAATGAGTGCAGTGTTCCGTCAGCCGCCGTGCTGCACGTAAAAGCAGCGTCTGACTGCTTGTGTAGTTTTTAAAGCTTCTGCCTAATATTGAAGTTAAACGCTGTAAGACAGAACATGCTGTTCCCGCAGTTTGAAAGTGGATAGTGAGAGCTGCCCCGTGTTAGAAGCGGATAGCTTGGTTTTGCATCTGAGGGCGTAAATCTTTTTACCGTGTTAGGCTTTTGTGCCTTCTTATTGTTCATTGTAAGGATTTTTTTTAACATGACGTTACATTTGCAATAAACAATTAATGAAGTGTATAAGCCTGAAGGTGTATGGTATTTTGAAAACATGAAATCAGATTTTGCCATTTTCCTAAACTGTTCACATAACAGATGTCTCACAAGCACACTTTTTGGTAGATAATATTAGGTCCTCACGATTTCTATCACAGCTCCAAGTAGATGCTATGTATTGTAATTGTTTTGATTTTTTTTAACCCTGGTACTAAATTTAGATATGTGTTCCAAGTATTTGTTCAGTACTTATTTTGTTCACTGTACATTTTTACCTGAGATGATTATATTTATAAGCACATCTTCTCTTAATTCTGAATGGTTTTGTTCTTGATTTTGCTCGACTTTTGTTCAAAACATTATTTGAAATGCCTTTAAGATTTTCTATTCACAGTCACTTTTTTTCCCCTTTGTTTTCAAACTCTTTACTTCAGAAGTTTCAGTTAGTGTGTTTGCAGGCAGCTGTAGTCATTCACTGGGCAACGCTGTTGCTAGGACTGGCTTAGGCACCTGTGCGTGTTCTAGAACCACACCACCGTCCAGAGCCTTCCGCTCTTGCTGAGGTGCCTGACCTGACACTGGGGCGCTGTGTTAGGTAACCCCGCTGCCCGCTCCAGGATCACTGTGCTCTGTTCTGCTGCAGCATTCGGCCGGGAGAGGCTATTGAATGATAGGAAAAAATCATGATTGTCTGTGTGCACGAGTGGATAAATCTTAAGACGTAAAAGCTGTTCAACTGTTCTTCATAGTGTGTGTAGCCCAGATGAGTATATTGTAAAGGGACTAGAGCTGAAATTCTACCTTGTGAATCTAAACTTTCATCCTCTAGTACTTAATACTGGATTTATTAAATCTTGCCTTTTTTACTGAATTTTTATACATTTTGTTACACTACGAGGATTTTTGAAAATCTTTGAGTAGTTACCGTTTAATTTTATAATTAGCTTGTAACTTTAACTGTAAAGTGGTATTTGGTTGTAACCAGTTTTAAAGTTTGGCCGTGAACTCAAAGCGGTCAGCGCTCTTCCTGAAGAAATGGTGAAAGGGGCCTGCTTTCCTTCTGCAGGCATGCTCACTGGAATGAATGAAACCTCTGCTCTGATCGTCGCCACACCCCAGGATTTCACCCCCTCTGTGATTCTTCAGAAGGTTGTGAATGTCGCCAATGTAGGTGCGGTTCCTTCTGGCCAAGACCATCTGCACAGGTAGGTTCGCTAACACAAGGCCTGTGTAGAAATCAAGAATTTCCAGTTCATTGTTCTCTCTGGAAACAGTATGCTCTAAATACAAGTGCACCTCCCCTTTGTCTGGTCGGGGTATTTGGTTGACGATTTTGGGTTAAAGCCCTCTTCCCCCATTTCATGGCATCTTGACGGTGCTTATTCTGGTGTGGCCGTTCATGAAGGATGCACAGTACAGCCTCGTTGTACGGTAGTTTAGTAATTTGCCGAGATACCTTTCATGAGGTGGTTGAGAACTTACCTCGTTTCTCCAGTGCCGTGGATTTCTGAGACGAGCGGTCTCATGAAGCGGTGACATTGGACTTTCCGGCTGGAAAGGGGGACGCTGGGTCTTGCACGGGCCATCTTTGGACAGCAGTCCTCGGGGCTGCTTCTGGGAGCGATACGCAAGGTGGTGCCGAGCGTGCCGTGGGGTTCTCAGCTTAGGGCTGCCGCCACACCAAGCACCTGAAGCATGAGATGCAAGTCATCTGTCCTGAAAGACAGCGGGAAATGTGATTAATATGTTTGCCAGTGGCTTTAAATGAAAGTGAAGACAAAATAATTCTCCCTACCCCAAGGTGTGCCGTTGCTGTGCAGTCCTCTGAAAGCATAGCGCCCGTCACAAGCCATCGCGTGGCGTATTTCTGCCTTGACATCACCTGCATGCGCAGTGCCCTTCCCTGCGCAATTGTTAATCATAGAAGATAGATTAGAATCAACGGGAAGGTCTTCAGACCTTTGGAAAAAAATTTTTTTTTTTCAGTTAGCACAAAAGCAGGACAGGTTCCGTATTAAGAAGGGCTAAAGGTGACAAGGGTTTTCAGCCATCACTGGGCGTGATACTGTTGGGCCAGCTCAGCTGTCTCCTTATGGGCTTCATGGGAAATGGGGGTTGAGATGCCGCGCGTCTGGGAGGACACAGGCGTGGCATCGAAGAGCTGCTCGGCCGGCAGTTGGCCGCGTCCTGCTGATCGTGACAAGGCTAGTCAGAGTACGTCCTGCCAGGATTTAAGAAAGAGGGCGGTTCCTTGAGTTAGCTTCTCAAAGGTCTCTTCATTTCTTAGTTATGACAAGCTTTGTTTTTCTCAAGTGGATGGCCGTAAAGCAGCAGCGTGGACGTGAGGTCATCGTGTCTGACGGTCCGTGTTCATTGGAAAGAGTGACTAGAGACTTCAGTGAAACAAGCACCTCCCTTCTGGGTTTTCCTCTGTGAATTGTTTCTGCTTTACATCCCAATTCTTACTTTCTTGGGTGTGGTTTTTCTTTTATTTGTGAGAACCTTGAAATTACTAAACTACCGAAATGTAGTGTGTCAACCCTAACTTATAATCAGGATGAAACTGTACCTGTTCAAGATGCCTGTGGTACCTGTACCCTGCAGACTTGTCGTCGTGAGTTCTTGTATATTGTACAAACGACGTAAGGTCACCATTGCTTATTTAGAGCTTCTAGTTACTTTTTGTTTTCTGAGTGGGCTTTTGCTCTTAATTTTCCTAAGGGCAATAGCAGACTTGCACATTTCAGGAAAAAAAGATCAACTTCTCAGAGGCAGCTAACAGGACAGCTGTATTCCCTTGGGAAACAGGCTGAGAAAAGATGCCCAGCACCATGGGGTATACTTGTAAGGCATAGTTTGCCTTGAATTTGCCTTTTCAATTGATTTAGATTAAAATTCCAGGCAATTCATTCCCCATGCTGGAACCAGGGAGATACACAAGTAGGAACTATTTTTATAGTTGCCTGTGGGAGGCAGAGGCCGCATGCAAACTCATGCTGAATGTTCCTGCTCTTCCTGTCAGCTGCAGCTGAGGGAGGCACCAGGCCACTGCAGCGTACAGAGCGGGCGACACACCTGTCATGCTCGGGCACAGAGCGGGCGACACACCTGTGACGCTCAGGTACAGAGCGGGCGACACACCTGTCATGCTCGGGTACAGAGCGGGCGACACACCTGTGACACTCGGGTACAGAGCGGGCGACACACCTGTCCTGCTCGGGCACAGAGCGGGAGACACACCTGTGACGCTCAGGTACAGAGCGGGAGACACACCTGTCATGCTCGGGCACAGAGCGGGTGACACACCTGTGACGCTCGGGTACAGAGCGGGTGACACACCTGTCATACTCGGGTATAGAGCGGGCGACACACCTGTGACGCTCAGGTACAGAGCGGGCGACACACCTGTCATACTCGGGCACAGAGCGGGCGACACACCTGTCATGCTCGGGTACAGAGCGGGCGACACACCTGTGACGCTCAGGTACAGAGCGGGCGACACACCTGTGACGCTCGGGTACAGAGCGGGCGACACACCTGTCATGCTCAGGTACAGAGCGGGCGACACACCTGTCATGCTCGGGTACAGAGCGGGCGACACACCTGTCATGCTCGGGCACAGAGCGGGTGACACACCTGTGACGCTCGGGTACAGAGCGGGTGACACACCTGTCATGCTCGGGTACAGAGCAGGTGACACACCTGTGACGCTCAGGTACAGAGCGGGCGACACACCTGTCATACTCGGGCACAGAGCGGGCGACACACCTGTCATGCTCGGGTACAGAGCGGGCGACACACCTGTGACGCTCAGGTACAGAGCGGGCGACACACCTGTGACGCTCGGGTACAGAGCGGGCGACACACCTGTCATGCTCGGGTACAGAGCGGGCGACACACCTGTCATGCTCGGGTACAGAGCGGGCGACACACCTGTCATGCTCGGGTACAGAGCGGGCGACACACCTGTCATGCTCGGGCACAGAGCGGGTGACACACCTGTCATGCTCGGGTACAGAGCAGGTGACACACCTGTGACGCTCAGGTACAGAGCGGGCGACACACCTGTCATACTCGGGTACAGAGCGGGCGACACACCTGTCATGCTCGGGTACAGAGCGGGCGACACACCTGTGACACTCGGGTACAGAGCGGGCGACACACCTGTCATGCTCGGGTACAGAGTGGGCGACACACCTGTCATGCTCAGGTACAGAGCAGGCGACACACCTGTCACGCTCGGGTACAGAGTGGGCGGGCGACACACCTGTCATGCTCGGGTACAGAGCGGGCGACACACCTGTCATACTCGGGTATAGAGCGGGCGACACACCTGTGACGCTCAGGTACAGAGCAGGTGACACACCTGTGACGCTCAGGTGCAGAGCAGGTGACACACCTGTCACGCTTGGGTACAGAGCGGGCGACACACCTGTCATGCTCGGGTACAGAGCGGGCGACACACCTGTCATACTCGGGTACAGAGCGGGCGACACACCTGTGACACTCGGGTACAGAGCGGGCGACACACCTGTCATGCTCGGGCACAGAGCGGGCGACACACCTGTGACGCTCAGGTACAGAGCGGGCGACACACCTGTCATGCTCGGGTACAGAGCGGGCGACACACCTGTCATACTCGGGTACAGAGCGGGCGACACACCTGTCCTGCTCGGGCACAGAGCGGGGAGACACACCTGTGACGCTCGGGTACAGAGCGGGTGACACACCTGTGACACTCGGGTACAGAGCGGGCGACACACCTGTCATGCTCGGGTACAGAGCGGGCGACACACCTGTGATGCTGCCTCTCAAGTCCTACCATATTTAACTGAAAATATTTTACATTGCTTTCACAGCTAACATATGACTGTAGTCATGTTCTAAATTTCAGAAAACTTCAGGTAATAAAGATTTAAAGTTGCTTGTATTTTACACATACAAACTGACACAACTGACACACATTCTGCCAATCTTGTATGCTCACAGCAATTAAAACAAAAATAAAACTAATGCTAAAATATATACCATTTAAAATAAAATAGCAAATATTGTTCGCCTTAGAATAATAAACAGTTTACCATTTTAGTGAGATGCATTGGTGTCTTGAGCTGGAGTTCAAGTCTGTTACCCTGTGGGATTGATGAGTTTCCCTACAGCTGAGCACGTAGTGCTGGTTAGTGACGAAAACTGCTCTCCCTGTGAGATCCCTGATGACTCCCTTGGTTCTGCCTCGAGAGCCGCTCTTGGGAGTTTTTGAGGAGCAGCATCAAAGCCACACTGCTGCTGGCTTCGAGTAAAGGTTGTCAGTTTGGAATTTTTTTAAACTTTGATTATTGGTACTTTAAAAGGTTAACATTTTCGGTGTGATAAATTGCTCTTGACTAGCCTGTATTCTATGTCATTTTTCAGGATCTTTTCTTACAGGAATTTTAGTAAGTGCTAGTATATTTTAAGTGTTTAATGAGTGAAGTTCCTATTGCATGGTTTAAACTAATTTAGTCATGTTACTTTTTTTTTTAAAGATTTATTTATTTATTTGAAAGTCAGAGTTACACAGAGAGAGAAGGAGAAGCAGAGAGAGAGAGAGAGAGAAGAGAGAGAGAGGTCTTCTACAGGTTCACTCCCCAGTTGACTGCAACAGCCAGAGCTGTGCTGATCCGAAGCCAGGAGCCAGGAGCTTCTTCCAGGTCTCCCACGTGGGTGCAGGGGCCCAAGGACTTGGGCTGACTTCCACTGCTTTCCCAGGCCATAAGCAGAGAGCTGGATAGGAAGTGCAGCAGCCAGGACTTGAGCCAGCACCCATATGGGATGCTGGCGCTGCAGGTGGTGGCTTTACCCACTGTGCCACAGTGCCGGCCGGCCCCCACATTACATTTCAAAATTTGAGTATCTTTACCTTAAATATCAAGTAAAGAAATACTTAGTACAAGAATTGTCTAACAGAAAGTGAACTTCAGTTAATATGCAGAAGTATGTAGTAGTATAAAGCAGAAATTTTAATTTAGCACGTAGTAGAAAATGGTCCCTGACACATCAGCAGAAAATGTTCCCCATTAAGAAAAAATCAATTAAAGGAGTACAAGTTTTATAGAATGTACTTCAAATCCCAGGAACATTTCCTATGAAGCTAATACTTGAAGATCCATGGAGAAAGTGTACCTACTGTTAGATTATGTGGCATTGGGTTTTAATGTTCTAAATG